TCTGGAATTTATATCACAGCTTTAACATATATACAAAACATTAATTCTGTGCTTTAATTATTACATTACATTGGCACAGTTCTTTCTTTTGGTGATAAATATGTGTGTGTGTATATATATATATATATATATATGTATAATATATATATATATTTTTTGCATTAAAGGATGGCACTATTAAACTTTTCCTGCTATTTCTGCATTCTTATGCAAAGAATGCCGAATAGAAAGATTTAAATAACAAAACATGTATCATTGATATCCAGTAAGATAGCTAATGTCATGCAATAATAATAATAATAATAAAAAAATTATATTACAATATAAATTGTATAAACTTGTAATTTAAATGACCAGTAACAATTCTATATGACTTGAACAATAATAATAATAATAATAATAATTAAAAAAAAATATTAATTTGCGAATTAACTGTGAATTAAGGCCATTTATATTGCACAATAAATGTGCTTTAAAATTTATCATTATTTTTGTAAAATAGATTAAACTTTTAAAATTCCGTGATATTTGCAAATAGATTTTTGAAAATTTTAAATTTATTATAGATAATTTAAACTTATTCATAACTTTCGATTAGAATGCAGACGTTAACTGTTCAAAAGAAATTATTTTCGTTGCTAGGTATCACATAAAATATGGCACAAGAAGGAAAGTATTATAAATAATTCCTTTATATCTTGTCGGCTCAAATAAACACATTAAGAAATTCATTGATTAAAACTGCTCTTTAACATTTACTCCCAAAAAGTTACTCCAAATCATTTAGGCATTAGTCGTTGAACAGAGTCAAAATGGCAGCAAAACACAACTGTTAGATTATATGCGTCTCGCATATATTAAAGTAATACACATTGCAGTGTAATATTATGTTGTGTTACTGTTCCACTATTCTCAATATTCAACTTAAACCATATCTAAATGGCAAGGATTTGAAACTTTCTGGATGCCTTTATTAACTATTATAAGAAAGCAGATTAAAACATGAATCATCTAATACTGGGCCGCAGATGAAAAAAATCATTTATTCAGTTTCTTCGAGTGCATCATATTGTGTAATAAACCTTGTAACAAACCATTTCTTAAAAAATAATTTGAAAATTTTCGGATTCATCTTTATTTATAGTAACGTAATTATCTGAATATAAATCTATTTGCAATAATCACTTATAAACTATTATTTTTTTACTTTTATAATTATAATTATAATAATAATGATGATAATCATAATAATAAAAGGTTGCTGGAAATTCCTGGTAGCACAGGCAGCATAATAATTTCCATATTCTTTGATGTAATTAATATTTGCTTTATAGAAAACAATAAACAAAAGATAAAATTACATTCAATTAACATAAAGTAGAAGCTTTTAACAACGAGTTTGCTTGATAGCCAAATAAAATTCTTGTTGGCACCAATTAACACAGGTAGCTTTTTGTGTTGTCAATGGAAAATAACAGTAACATGGCTTAATCTGATTGTATATGCTATAGGAACATTCTATGCAATCGATTCTTTGCTCCATTTGGCAGTGTTTTATGTGCATAAGTAGCAACTAATTTTTGCAGAAGCAGAAGTTTTTAGCTAATGATCACCTCGCAACAATTCCATGAGAAGATTGAAACTTGGAACTTCTCCAATCCTTTGTTTGCTTGCTAATGATTCTTTACCTACTTGACACGCACGTTCTAGATCTGGAATCCTAAGTAACAATTCTCCAAATTTGCTAGGTAAGTGAGGATAATGAGTCCGAGTATAAGTTTGAAGAGCTTCTAAAACTTGTTTTTGGCAATTTCGCACTTTATCTGGCTCTTTCAGACCACTAGCATCTATAATATAAAAGAAAAGAAAGCTTAAAAATTAAATTTCTTAGTAATTTTGTTAAAATAATCGATTTATTAATAAATTATAATTGTTTCTATTACTCAGTTCAAAGATTGTAAGAATTCAGCAATCTTTTTCCATAGAAAATTAATGAAAGAAATCACCAAATAACCAAAACTTCAGCAAAAAACATAATACTTTAATAAAATTAACATTTTCAACTGACTTTATTGGCCATTGTCAGGTTTATAATGAAAATATTGTCAAATATAAAATAGAATTTTCAAATTTGATTAAAAAGAATGATTATTCAATATTAAGTTGAACTGGATTGATGATGGCTGATAAAATTGGTTAAAAACATTAGTTTTATTAAAGTGGTGTTCTTTTTTCTTTTGCTATATTTTTGGTTATTGTGATGACTTCTTGCTTATATATCCAATTCCTCAATTCCTTTGATTGTTTTTTAATTAATGAATTTAATTAATGTTTAAATTACTGAAATATACTCATATACAAATTAGTAAATATGAGGTATGAATTCATATTTTGTGTTTGCATTCATACCTTGAATCAAAGTGAGAAGCCAAAAGTGTGAATTTCTTTTAATTATAATAATAATGATGATAATCATAATAATAAAAGGTTGCTGGAAATTCCTGGTAGCACAGGCAGCATAATAATTTCCATATTCTTTGATGTAATTAATATTTGCTTTATAGAAAACAATAAACAAAAGATAAAATTACATTCAATTAACATAAAGTAGAAGCTTTTAACAACGAGTTTGCTTGATAGCCAAATAAAATTCTTGTTGGCACCAATTAACACAGGTAGCTTTTTGTGTTGTCAATGGAAAATAACAGTAACATGGCTTAATCTGATTGTATATGCTATAGGAACATTCTATGCAATCGATTCTTTGCTCCATTTGGCAGTGTTTTATGTGCATAAGTAGCAACTAATTTTTGCAGAAGCAGAAGTTTTTAGCTAATGATCACCTCGCAACAATTCCATGAGAAGATTGAAACTTGGAACTTCTCCAATCCTTTGTTTGCTTGCTAATGATTCTTTACCTACTTGACACGCACGTTCTAGATCTGGAATCCTAAGTAACAATTCTCCAAATTTGCTAGGTAAGTGAGGATAATGAGTCCGAGTATAAGTTTGAAGAGCTTCTAAAACTTGTTTTTGGCAATTTCGCACTTTATCTGGCTCTTTCAGACCACTAGCATCTATAATATAAAAGAAAAGAAAGCTTAAAAATTAAATTTCTTAGTAATTTTGTTAAAATAATCGATTTATTAATAAATTATAATTGTTTCTATTACTCAGTTCAAAGATTGTAAGAATTCAGCAATCTTTTTCCATAGAAAATTAATGAAAGAAATCACCAAATAACCAAAACTTCAGCAAAAAACATAATACTTTAATAAAATTAACATTTTCAACTGACTTTATTGGCCATTGTCAGGTTTATAATGAAAATATTGTCAAATATAAAATAGAATTTTCAAATTTGATTAAAAAGAATGATTATTCAATATTAAGNATATACGTATTTTGGAAATGTTGAGTCGAATTAGTCTAGAATCAATTAATTTTATGAAAGAAAACCTTTCAAACAGCCGTAGTCCGTAAACTATGATTCCTACAAAATTGATTCATAAAGAACGGAACGTATCTACCGTCTTATAGGGGGATCTACTGTATTTAGAAAAGCTATATAAATACTATATAACAGGTAATGCCAGGCAGCTCTATTTCCATGCACTTCTGTTTACATAATACCTGTAGCTATTCATTTTAATCCCATATCATAATAGTGTCTAGAACTGTCTAAATGTTGTAGGTTTTTACATGTTAAAAAAGGAGTTTAAATTAAATATTCTTTACCTGCAAAGCTGATTTGAACTGATGCAAACATTGAGCAATATAGTTGAAACCATCTATTATAGGTTCACATGGACTACTCATAATTTACAAATGTGATTCTTTCTACAGCACCAATTTTATAAAGAAGTGATGCAGAATGCATGCTTGATCTTTTTTGTATTTCAAGAGAAAAAACAGCCATTGATTCCAATCTAATGATCTTCGAGGTTATGTAACAGACTTACCTCTTCATCTATCTTCCATGCAATGCTATTAAAAGAAGAAAAAGCATATCCTGTATTGTTCTGAAGTACTTTCATATAGTGGTAACAGGTTTGAGATCCGTTAGCTTGCAAGCAGTTTTCTATCAATTGGTCAGTCAAATCTCAATCATGTTTATATATTTATATAATTTTAATTTAAATATTTTTCAAATATAAATTAAAGAGCTTAAATAGTTCCAAGAAACTTAATTTTTTCAAAAGTGTTGTTCAAAAAGAAGTGATTTAAGGAATCTAAAAATTGCTAACCTATGAAGACATATCCAACTTCTTTAATAAACTGTTTATCATTAAGTCAATTATTAACTTAATTATGGAGTTGAAAAGATGTCAGAGTATCTGGACAGGATGTTTCCTAGCCTTAAATGGTAAAGCATGGTCTTCTAATGGTTGCTGGCATTTATTAGAATTGTAATTTATTTGCATAATAATTAAAACAGAGATGATGTAACTAACCATGCGGCTGAAATTTACAGTACCACATTTTCCTATAATGATAACTCTCATAAAGGAAATTTTTCCCATAAAACTTTCTCCCACACATTCTGAAAGTTAGTAAATTTTATTAAGTATCGCTTTTATTTATTATTATAGCAGCTTAAAAAAGATGTAGTTTAATTAACAATACGTAATACTGTATTTCCTTTATTCTAAGATTCACTACATATTTTTTTACTCAGTTTACTCATCTGAAATAAAACTGCATCTTAAGGCTGCTGCAAACTAGGCAATACCATCATTTTCAACGCGACATCAGAGGAAATTTTTATGGTCACGTGATTGTTTTGATTTGAAGATTGAGCAAATTCGCTGCTTATAATATCACTTGTGATGTAGTTCTACATCACAATTAACATTTTGTCTACCCCTCTACAAACTATTGTTTAGTAGTTCTGTTTTATAAAATGACGATGATCTATGATGACTTGCATCAGCGAATGGAAGCAGCCAAAAGCTAACATCAGTAGACTTTGACTGCTTCCATTTTCTTTTTTTGTCTGTTTGTCAGAAATTTAATAAATAAACAAAAATGAAATCAAGGACCCAACAAATTTCAATAAAATCAATGAAATAATTTATATTCTTACTTCTAAGATAATCTATCAAACAGCTCTGTTTCATAATACTAGTGTAGCCAAAATGTGAAATGTGAAGCACAAATATGCTTTTTTTGTGCTTACAGTGCATACTCTTTTTTGAAAAAACTTTCAAATGTGCACGAGTGTTGTCAATCGCCACCTGAAAATCAAACTTCTTGGATCCAAGACACATTGAATATACTGCATACTTCCATCAAAGAGTATGATATAGAGTGATGTTGAGTCAATGACAGGCATTCAAATGCCATCATGTGGGCAATGATCAAACAAATTTGCTTAAACCAGTTTGTTTCAATATTGTCTAGTTTGCAGTAACCTTTAGAATCAATGATGTCTTACATTCAAAGTCCAAAATAACAATAAAAATACATTGTGAACTGACCACATAATGCATTATTACCACTCATTTTCATTGACCAACTTGTAGAAAACTATTTGCAAGCGATAGAATGACAGAGCCCATATCTATGACCACTATATAAAAATACTTCGGAACAATGTGTGATATTCTTTTTGTTCTTTTAACAGCATTTTATGGAAGCTAAACTGCAAGAAATGAGTGTATTACCTAATCTCTAAAATCACTAAATTGAAATCGATAGATATTTTTTCTGAAGTGTACACACATTTGAACTTCTGTTTTTTAAATGGAGTTCTAATACACACAGATTTTTTATTTAAATTTAAATAATGGACTTCCACTATATAAATTCTTTAGAATTATTTAAAAGAGGGTAAATATATATTAACTTTGATGAACGTGAAGATGGTTTATTAAAAAGCCAAAAAAAGTACTTACTAAATTTAAAATTGGTGCTATTAGTTTTTATTTTTAAATAATATTTAATTTGCAAAAATATTTTAATATGATTCCTAGAATTCCTTAGTAACAGACTTCTCAAATACATAATTTTCTGGTAAAGCTTTAGATAAATATTTCTAGATTTACCTATAATCTTTACATAAAGAATGAGTTTTATAATTTGCTAATTGTTGAAATTAATGAAATATTTTATGATTCTCAAACACAAATTCGCGCTACTATTTAAATACTTTCATCTTTATTCAGTTGATATGAGTATTACTACATGTTTCGGGCACTGCCCCTCATCAGCCAACCAAACATTAAAAAAATATACATAAAAAATCTTTTTTCACATGACAACATCACACAGAAAAGCTATTTTACAAAAATATATATCTAAATATTTAAGTTTGGAATCTAATGGTATGTCTTGCAAATGAATTTAAACATTTAGATATATATATTTTTGTAAAATAGCTTTTCTGTGTGAAGTTGTCTTGTTAAAAAAGATTTTTTATGTATACTTTTTTAATGTTTAGTTGGCTGATGAGGGGCAGTGCCCGAAATGTGTAGTAATACTCGTATCAACTGAATAAAGATGAAAAAAACACCAAGTGTTTAAATAGTAGCGCAAATTTGTGTTTGAGAATCATAGAAAATTATAAAACATGGTTTCGGAGAATTGATTAATGAAATATTCTCAAATATGCAATTTATCTTGTATACTTTTCTACATAACTGTAGATAGGTATTTGCAATTTTACAAAAATATCAAGTAGAAATTAATCAAATAGTTTTTACTAGTTAGAAGTTTATCACTAAATATATAAATTTATTTTGCATATGAAATCATATATAATTAAATTAAGCAAACAATATTGAATTATTTAAACTAATTTGGCTGATAAATAGTCCAGATAAAATCTGGTGATAATCTTTTCAAATCAAATAACTAAATCTAATGATATTTAGTTATGTGATTTAAAAAGAATAATAAAAATAACTAAATATGTGAAGAAATGTTTTACAACATTGAATTAAAGATTAAAAAATTGGAAATTATTAATTGTTAAAATTAAGTAATGAAAATTATAACATACAGTCGACCCCCCCTGTAACACTGTTGATAATTCCGTTTTATATGAATTCCATGTTGTACGAGTCGCTTAGATTTTACAAATACGTGTGCCGGACTGTGAACGGCTCACGNTATTTTTCAGAAGCTATGTCAGATCTTTCTATTTATAAACTTAGTCATTATTCTGCTCCTGTTTCTGGTGGAACTGAAGTTATTATGCTTTGTGATAAAATTGTTAAAAGTAAGAAATGCTTTTCAGTGTTCTCCTATTAAAAATTGTTTATAAAGACTATTAAAAGTTCACAATATGTATTGGAAACTAAATTTTTCTTTTACTGATAGATGACTTTAAAGATAACTTGCGTCTTATTACAGTAGAAACTCTATTAACTGGGACATGATGGAAGGATGTGCCAGATAATTGAAAACCACAAAGAATTTTCATGTATATGATAGCTTAAAATAACAGTTTTAATATACAGGTTAATTAATCTTAATTTGCACAATTCTTCCTGTATACGGACATATTAGGAATGTGAATCCAAAGAAATTATAATTTTATTGTATAGGTACAATGATGACACTGTTTCTTGACTTTCCATTTCATTTCAGTTCCATTTTACCATTTCATGAGATGAATTTCACACACAAATATTAAGATCATAGACTATGTAATTGTGAGTCCTCATTTTCTATTCAATGAAAGAGTTTATTATAAAAACTGTTGGTTGTTGATATACTTCATAAAAATAGAATTCATTATTTAATTAATATAAATGTTGCTACGTAAAAAAAACTCACTCGGTAGCTGACCAGTACAACTGATTGCATGACAATGTGTATATAATCAATTACATGATAACATAAATTATTTCATATTTCTGCAACTGGTTGTGTAAGAATAGATCATTGACTGATAATCCTGTAGTTGCAAAACATTAAATTATTTTTTTCCCCTAAGCCTGTGTCTTTACAATTATATATGGTCATAAATCAAGGGATACCAGTATGTGAAAACTGGGTCAGCTTTGGTGTACTTTCTGTCTCACTGAAGATGGCTGTTAAAAAAAATCATTGAAAGTTGATAAGTACACAAATACTGCTCAACTCTCTCCAATTATTGTCAAGATTCCTGACACCAGTTAGAAATATACTATATAATTATCTTTCAAGTGGCTAAAGATGTTTAGAAACAACCAGAAATTTTAGAAGGTTATACTTTAAATATTAAATAACATGGGATACGTGCATTACATGGATTTCATGAATATGTGGGCCAACAATGGAGTTATGCATAAATCCAATCCAAATACAAGCTACCATACAACTGTATATATTTATTATAGGAGATTATAATTATCAACAGTGTTATAGGGAGGTCGACTGTATACTTAAGAAATTCATACTTTGGATCTTACCCTGTATATAAAATAAGATGAAACTTAAATTATTATACTCTTACTAAACTAATTCAATATACCAAGAATTTGAATAATTCATAAATTTATATTCAAACTACTTATTTTGAAGCAAAAATCAACAAAAAGTAAATGTTTTATATAATTAAACCCCTTTTAAGCTACTTATGAAAAAATTAAATTGTTAAAAGAACATATCTTTAGTTTATTTATTTTTTCAGTGACTTAAAGATGACTTATTTACCTAAAGCATTTGATTTTTTGCTTCAAAGCAAGCATTCCTAAATATATTTTTTGATTTTATGATGCAGGTGTCCTGTAACTTGTACATTAATTGTCAGATATTATAATATTAAAATTGAAATATATACATACATAATTAAATTCTGAAATTACCTGAAGTTAATAATATTATTACTTTTAAACAAACATATTCATATTGATCAACTTGAAGATGCCTCATATGCTCTGTCATATTTAGCATTCTTTCAATAACTGGCCCAAGTCCTATCATTCTGGCTTCTGATAAATTAAGATATTTACCATGCGATACTCTTATTTCATTTGGTGTGGCCATTGACCGATAACAACAACTTAATAACAGCAATTCACACCAAGAATTAATCAGCAATGCAATCTGATCATCAGTCTGAAATAAAAACATGAAATAATTATGTAAGTTTTAACCATTTCAAAAATTATATTAAGATAAAACTGACCTGTATTTCCCTAAATAAAGGAAGGCTCTTGCACCATTTAACAATTTTAAACAATCGATTATCTGCTATGTTACACAAATTTCCTAAGAAATCTGGATCTCCATCCGTCATCTTATCGGTCAACTGTTCTGACAGTCTGTTGCCTTCTCTATCTGTTGAATACCAAAGATGTTCAACTGCCAGAATACTTTGAATTAAAGCTGGAATTGTTGGTTGTTTTAAGTCTTCAGGAGAATGGCGAGAGGAATCTGTCAACATGGATATAAAGCAATAAGAATAGATCAGTTAATTTAAAATACACATACAGTTATACTGTATAATTCACTATAGAATTTTTATAATTAAAATGAATTTTAGAAATAGTAGAAGAAAGTTTATTCCCTTAATCTTTCTTTTAGATATTTACAAAAACAATAACTAAAATATAATCATTAATTCATTATCTTTTTCTTCAGTTCTATACCAATAATCTTGATAAAATATGTCATGAATTATAATGAATATCTTGTAATTATAAAACTATTTTTATATTACATAAAAGGATATTTATAAACAACTATAATTTAATAAATTAAAGAATATACATACAAAGATATTAAGGATATTCATTATTTTAAAAAATATATATTTGATGAAGAAATACCTGTGGATGGTCTTGTCAGAGATTGTCCTGAACTAGTTCTAGTACTTTCACTGGAGACAGGTGATGGCGAACAGTCTGAAGATGACATACGACTGTCACCTAATGGCTGATTTGGCAAAGTATAAGAACATTGGTAAGTGCTTCGACCCCCACGAGTTCGGTCTTCTCTTATTGCTACAAAATAAAGTTTCACATATATATATTTCATTATCTAGAATATATTTAAAAAATAAAAATATAAGTTCTCTGCATTTTAAATGAAGTAGATCTAACTAAGGCATAGTGTGTATTTCAACAAGCCGTTTTGAATCAGATTAGATCTAGAGCCGATTTTTACTTAAATTTTTGAAAACATGTATTTCATAAAAGTAGTTTATTCTAGACTTAATCTAGACAAATTACATGAAGTGGTATTCAGTGCTGATTCTTAGATCTATGTAATAGTTGATCTAGAAAGAAGTAAGAGTATACACAGTTTGTTCAATCATTGAGACTATTTACCATATTTTCAATTATATCAATAATTTTTTTCTTCACATTTTTATTGTTTTCAAGCATACTAATGTGTAAACATCATTTTAATACAAACTATAAATAATCCCTTTTACTTTTTGGAAAAGCTGTTCATGTAAAAGTATCATAGAAAATGTTTAAGCTAGGAATAGTCAACTCATTTCTTACTGTGGTTAACCGAATGATTGTGATCAACCTGTTGACCACCTTTGATTATGCTTATCAGCGCTTTTTTTATAAGTCTTTAAAAAGTGATAATTTTTAGTTTTTAAATAATTAAATCTTATTTTCTAGAAATGTTAATATTCATTCAATCAAATAGATGTAATAAGATTAAAACTGGGTTATTTCTGCTTAACATTAAATTGCTCAATGGTTCATGCTTCCATCTGAGAAAATTGGCCAAATACTTATTGAAAACTTCTCCTATGCTTTCTTTTTATTGCATAACTGCCTTTATATCATACTCTTTACTTTTGATAGTAATTGCATTTGTGTAATGTTCACCTAAATGTTTTTCCCTTCTTCAGAAAACCTGTGCACATCCTAGACTTTTTTCTGATATCTTTCTACTATCAGCAATGAAACGAATCTGGCTTGTCTATCAGTTTATAGCTAATGAGAAGAGTAACAATTCTTATAATAGTCATATGACGATGATTGTCTAAACTACTTAAATCTGTATCTTTCAAATGCCTTTTAATATTGGTTTAACTGATGGCTACAAATATAAAAAAAATATTATTAACTTATATGATTACTTTTAGTGCAGAGATAAATAAAAAGTCAATCTGAATATTACATTGAAGAAGAAACGTATCTGATGTAAAGATTATTTTGAATGTAGAAATTTGAATTTGGTTCTTTATTAAAAGATGTATGTAAACAAATCCTTGATTTATAATCAGAAAAAAATGGAAAAATACCAGTGGCGTAGCATAGTGGGGGTGGCCAACCCAGAGTGGCACTTTTTAGGGGGCGGAAAAATACAGAGTCTATTGGCTTTTGTTTACCAATATTATTTACAAAGGTTTTTTATAGTATTCAATTTGATGCCATTGTCTTTATATAATTAATGATGATAGTATGTTTTCTTGATTCTAATGCACCATCAAATCTAATACACACCTGATATGACACCTGTCAAACTAACTTTTTTTGGGTTTTGCCATGTCAAACCCAAAAAAGTTAGCTTGAAAATGTAATACATGCTCTATATAACATCGCAGTCACAAAATTTTAATGTATTTAAAAAGTAATAAATGCATTTTTTGAAAGTATTTTACTTTCATGTTTATAGTGCTTCATGATGTCCACATTTTTGAATGTATTCATCTATGACATTATCAAGTACAGATTATCATATAATCAATGTTTTAACAGCAAGATTTCATGTCCGTATGAACAAGATACTGACATGAAATTTATCATATACATAGTATCACACTGAAATATCTGTATACATATTCTTCAGTGTAGTGGATAATTCTTTGCTAATGCTTTATAGAAGATTTGTCTTTTGGAAATCATTCATTTGCTCCCTGTAGATCAAAGAACCACAAACTGTTCTAAAACCAAAATTAAAACTGAAGTAGTGAGAGGGACATTACCATGTCTATAACAACATGATAATACAAGTGAATTGTCAAGCAGAGTGAAGAGCAAATGACAGAAATGAAGCTACATTATACTGACATTGCATTCCAAAAAATTTTTGAGATGCAATGTCATCTGCCAATTTTTCAGATTAAAAAAAAAAGTGCATCTTAGAATTAAGAAAATACAGTAATTAGAAGTTATACACATACAGTCAAACCTTGGGTTTTGAACTTAATTTGTTTATAAAAGTTGTTCAAAAACCAATTTGTTCTAAAACCAAAACAAATTTTTCTGTAATAAACAATAAAAAATAGATAATTCCATTCCCAACCCCCAAAACAAAACTGTTTTTTACTTGTTTAGCTGTATTTCATGCATAAAAATGCCTATAAAAGCAATATAATATTATATTTTATATATATATATTAGAAGCAAAATGTTCCATCACCACCAACTGAAACCAAAACTAACACTTTAACTTTATCCACATTTTCCAAAATATTATGCTTCAATTAATTTGATTTCAATTTTATTTTCAGTATAAAGGCCAGTTTTAATTAATAATTTATTATTTTTAGTTTTAATTAACTGGCTACCTAGTATTAAAAAGTATTATATATTAATATTATATGAATAAATTTTTGGCATTTAATTTAACTTAATCGTATTTAAACACAAATTCTTGGATGCCATTTATATTATGCGAATGTTAATTAGCATAGATTTTATTAATTAATTTGATTTAAATTCAACTGTGGTGTGTACCAAAAAATGTTTCCTACATGCACATTGAAATGTAATTTAAATAGCAATGTCATTGATGACTTGTATTGTGATGCAAGGTGATTTTGGTGCCACTAACTTCTGGAATTGGTAGTCCTGTCATTTATTGGTTGTGCCATCGACTTTCTTTAACATAGGATGTATAAGAAGTTGACCATCTGTTGCAGGATCTTGCTGAGTAACTTGTATGGCAACAGAGTTATTGCATGGCAACCAGGACAAAAAAAGAGTTCAAAATTTTGTTCATAAACCAAATTGTTTGTAAAGTGAGATGTTCGAAACTGGAAGTTTCACTATATGTTATACATCAGATGCATGACATTGGTAATGTCAACAAAACAAGCTTCTACTTTACCTTTGTACAATTTGAATGTTAACACCAAATAGAAAAGTTATACATGTTCAATAAGTTCATAATATTATCATCATTAAATCACATTCTGCTATTTTAAACAATTCCTTTTCATTGCTAAATTTTTCTTTACGAAAAGTCATATCATATTTAATAATTAAATGAACAGAAACATAAATACATTCCTATTTTAAATTATCATTTTGTAGTTTATGTATTCAGCAAAATCTATTATGGCCGGAAATTTCACGAGAAATATATTAAACATATCACTATTATTACATGTTAATTATATATATATATATTTTAATAAATTTTAATTACCTTCCAATTTCATCCCTGTTTTTAAACATTTATCAAATCTACAGGCTGGACATTTTTTTCTTGTGTTAATGGCAATATGACAATTGGCCCCTCGAAGACAAACATAGTTTTTTTTATTCTGGACAGTCCTTTTAAAAAATCCTTTACAACTCTCACAGGAAAAAATACCATAATGGAATCCCGAAATACGATCTCCACATATCGGACACGGGCCACTCAGGAGTTGCTGTCTCGAGATTCCTTGCCCCGCTGACATACCCAGAGGACTCTGGGAAGGATCATGGACAATATTGTTCTTTCCTTCCTCACTACTATTATCTGCTGATAACCTTTGTGTGGGACTGGCAAAATCACTGGCATTTGATTCATCTGATGCACTTGATGCTACAGATGCACTGGAAGCTATTTGTAAATGGATAAAAATTTAATTGTTAAAAAATATAAACACACAAAAATATACAAAAATGAAAAAAGTTACAATTGCAACTGAATTTTTATTAAAAATATTTTATATTTTGAAAATTATATTTGAAAATCTAATTCTACATTGTTTTCCCATCTTTAATGGTTAATGGCAATAAAGATTTGTCCTGTTTATAACAGACAAAAGTAAGACTATTAACATAGTCTGTAGTGTGTAAATGTTTTGTATTTTGTAAATCTACTCAAATTAAAAGTAAGACTTTCAAGAGAATTTCTTGCTATTTACGTGATTTATAATAATTGTCTTTTAATTGTTAAACAAGATAATGAAAATAAAATTCCATTAAATAAAATTGAATTGGAGTTATTTATATTATTTCACTTTTTATAATGTAATAGAACTTAATATTCCATATTTTATAAGTTAATAAAAAAGTCTTCAATCAAGTCAAAAAGAGAAAGCTAGATAGCCAATTAAATATAGATTAATACAACTTTTTTTAATTTTTTTTTAAATAAAACTTAAGATAGTTTCAGGACTAATATAGACTGAAATTGTTTATTTTTAATCTAAACAGTCGAACCTGTTTATCCAGATCACATTAATCTGTATTTCTAGTTTATCCAGATTTAAAACCTAATCCCTGGCTCAGAAGTATGAAAGACAGACATATGGAAAACCTATAAACATGAAAAAAATGAATGAACTACTAAGTACTTTCTTGCATGAGTATTCTTTGTCATGTATTCCATGAGAATCTTTTCTAATATTACAGGATTTTCAATTATAAAAAACTGCTTTTTTCCTGTAATAAAAATGTGCTTCTCATGGCAGTCAACATGTTAGTAAGTTTACTGTTTATAACCTGGAGAGTAAGGTTACTGTTATCTAATTTTAATAATTATAATTAAATTTATTTATTTATTTTTTCACCAGTAGTAGAATTTTGAACTAATTATTATTATTATTTTTGGATTTTCCTTTTCCTCGTGGTCCATGTAACATATATACCGTTTCATCAAAATACGTCAAAGAGAACAGACTCTATACATGTCTGAGTAGGGCAACTTTAATTATAACCACCCTGTATGTATAAATAATAATAAATAGATGATATAAAACTGTAAACTAAGTTTGCTTTACTCTGATTTTTGTTTTATCAAAACATCATTTAGATATTTAAAATTATATATAACATTACAGATTTGAATAATAAGTTTTAAATCTTAAAAGTTTTTAATATAAACAAACTTTAAATTTAATTCCTTGAAAAATAATATATTATTAGGATATAAATGCCATTTTTGTGATAAAAATTTCTTTGTAAAGAAATGCCAAAGAATTAGTATAAAAAGATGATGATGAAAGACAATACTTTGTCATTAATCCTTGTCTTTTTCTACTAATCAGTTACGCAATTTCTGTTACTCAGAGTAATTGTGACTTCTTCCACATTATCTGCTTTTAATATATCAAAAAAATTAATAAAATGGCATGATTTTATATATATATATATATATCAATTGAACTGATTTAGAAATAGTTTTATGTTGAATATTTAAAAGCAATTTTTTGTTTAATTATTGAAGCGCAAGATAATGTAGCTTTCTAATTTGCTTGAGCGATACTATAAATATCACTTACATCATGAATATGAACTGAACATGAAATACAAAGCTAATCTTGCCAAACATACTATTAATACAATATGTTTGAAAACATGTTTATATAATTACACATAAATGTAAAATTATATAAGTATTTTTAGTATCACTCAAGCACAAACTAAAAGCTACATTATCTTATACTTCAACTTTTGTTATTGATTGTTTATTAAAAATACCATGTCTATAAATATTGATTAAAAATAAAATACCAGTTGAGCGTGCATCCTGAGTTGATCGTTGTAAAAGAGGAGAAATATGTATCACTCTAGTTTCAAAACTCGTATTTTCAGAATGAGTTGTATGAACTGCAATATTATTTTCATTATTTAAAGTAACAGATGACTGATCTGGTACTGTCCAGTGCACATGATTTGGAGGAGAAGGAGCATTGTATACTACACGACGTGAATTATTTGTATAAATATGAGCAGGACTTATGTCAGGAGAATAACTCGTGGGACCATCATTATCACTTCGTCTTCCTTGGCTAGGACTTTGTGATGGTGAACAGATTACACTATTTTCAGTAGCTCCATGCCTTCCCTGAAGAAAAATTATTAAATTAAATGATTTTAATAATATTTAAAGATCTTCTACAAAGAAATAATATATAACATACATAATAACTTGTTAGTTATTTATGACTGATAATGAAATCAAATATATAGATTTACCTGAGACGGACTACTCAATGGAGAATACACTGAACCATCACTGCTATTACCAGTAGTGTGTCGAGAGAGAACGGGGCTTGGATTATATAATGCAGAAACATATCGGCCGAGCAGGGGACTCTGGGCTGGAGAATAAGAGGAACGAGAACTTGAACTACTTGTAGGACGAGTGAGTACAGGACTCGGACTTTGGCTGTAGGGACCGGTATAACCAATCATATGTCTGCTCTGGGCAGGACTATGATGACCACACAAAGAATTTTCTGTAAATAATAATAAATACCTATTAAATTACATACACATTAAAATAATGGACATTAAAATTTATGACAAATGGATTAAATTTGAGAATATGAATATATTTGTAATAACAACAGAATATAAATGAAGTTTCTCATCACAAGAAAATGTTTCTCAATATTTATTCTCAATCAGCATTACATAATTTATTTCGTATAGTTAATCTGTAAAAATATAATAGCATACACCTTGTTTTCTTTTGAAAAATTAATGTATGTATATTTAAGAATACAGGCATAAAATAATATAAAATGACAAAAATCAAACTGCATTCTATAGTTTACCTTTATTTACAAATTATTCTCTAGTACTTTTGGATAACCAAATCCATTGTCAAGAGACATACAAATGAATTAACTTAGTAGCTGTCATCTAAGTCTCCATAACCCAGATGTTGCATCAATCATCTATGATCCTTATCACCTACTCCTAATTATCCCATCCCCTACCAAGAAAACTACTTCACACCTCTCACTCAGCCATACATGCAACATCAGTCAACTACTATATGAGAACTGCATTTCTTACTCAGCAAAAACAATGACTAAAACTAACAATAAAAACATTGGACACAAAACTAGCCTAACTTCTTTTCCACTCAAAGTGATTGCATATCTCTTTTTTACTATTAATGTTTTTGTCTGTTGCTTCTTTACAGGATTTTACATATCTGAATAATCTTAGTGTTGAATCATTCATGTTGTCTGTTTTATGCAAGAAGTTTAGAGGTCCTTGTCTTTTTATAATTGTTTTTAGCTCTGTCTATACTTTTTCATTGGATCAGTTCTCAACTGCTCACATATTTTACATACTGCTTTAGATCTACAAAATAGTCTACTTTTTTTTATCACTCCCATTTCCTAACCAAAATTCACTAATGGGATAAGAATCCTGTCTTCTTGATCCAACAGAGTGAAAATTTTGCATAAAATTGATTTGTTTCTTCTTCTGCAAATATTCAAAAAGTTATGTTGCAGTCTACCATCCCAAACACACTGATAATTGTTCTGTACATGTCTTTGTCTGATAACACATTAACTGCAATGTTATTTTACTAAAATGGTTATTATGTGGTACAGCTCTTCATGAACTCTTCTTAGTTATCTTAAAAATTTGTGAACAGGTCATCTCTTTTGCTGAAGTTACAGGGGTGACTTGAAAGTTTGAAGAAACAGGAATTAGATATGAAAGAAAACAGACACTTGTTCCATCTTAGGTTACAAGACTTGCAAAGGCCATTATCAACAGATTTCTGAATAATGTCATCACTGGTTTTAGTAGTGCATGTGATGTAGAAAGGCAGCTGGACATGCCATATTCCAGTGTGGAAAGTTTCTGCAGAATTATTCAGTTTTAGCTATTTAAGACCATATGCCAATAAGGGAATCCAAAAAGAAAGACTGTGATTTAGTCCGATTTTTTAAGTAGAAGTTGACGAAACTAGCTTTCAAAAATGTCTATTTTGTGGAAAGTCAAGACTTATTTTTATCTGAATTGTAGTGAGAACATCCAGAACTGTCACATTTGACATTAGATGTTTCCCAAACTGTGCAGCATGTTCTACAGAACTTGGTTAAAGACACTGTTTCAATGTAACTTTTAGAATAAGACTTTAAATAAAAAAACTCATTTATCATTGTTAAGAAACAGTTCTTAACACTGATAAACTGAGTTTGTTTATACATTGCATTATCATGGTGTGTATCATTGCTGTTAAATGAAAATAGGACTTATTTTTTGAGGAAATCTACTGACAGGAGTGGTAATATACTTTATTGTTGAAGAAGGGTTTACAATATATCCTGCAGTTTTCTTATAGCAGCAATGAGGATACCTGAAAAGAATAATTTTTATGCAAAATAGAGTACCACTTTACATTGTATTGTCAGTGCAACAACTTCTGCAGCATCACTTTACTGAAGAAAGAGTGATCAACTACTTATTTCCATCTGAATGATTAGATTCAAAACACAGAAAAAAATCTTCAAATTTATTCAAAATCATCCCAAGTGATAATTAAATTCTCAACTTTCAGTAGGAAGCCTTATAATCTAACCATCTTATATATAGGTCAAAAACTGGGTAATTGTAAATATGCTACTCACCAAACCATCACCAGTTCATGTCACGAAAAAAGCAAAATTCTTACAAACGTTTTTGTCTATGTGAAACAGACAAAAACATTTGTGAGAATTTTGCTTTTCTCGTGACATGAACTGGTGATGGTTTGGTGAGTGGCATATAACCATATTTAATGTAAAAGATATTTAACACTGAACGATATCAGTTCATATCATTCTCAAATCAATCTTTTTTCTAGTGATTTGTTATATATAGTTTATATAGCAGAGTTGACAGTTTGGAAAATATCTGAAATTAATTCAACTACTCAAAACTGGAAATATGTTAATAAACACTGCTCACAGAACCAATATCCAACGAGAAGTTAAAAAAATAAATACATTTTTTTTCTCACAGTTTTGCTGGATATTGGTTAGGGACTGTCCATAAATGATGTCCATACTGGAAGGGAGGGAGATAATTACGGCAAGTCTGACAAAGTCTGACAAGGGAGATGGGAGGGGTTGAGCTTCCGTGGATGTCTGTTTATTTCATTAAATTTTTTACAGTTTATGCATTTTATTATATTTATTTTTAAATTTCTTGTATGTTTCATTTCTAATTACGGTATCTATCATTCATAAAATGATAAAGGTTTTAAGGAGGGATTGACTTTTGTTAGACGTCCAAACAGGGAAGGGGGTTACGGAAACGTGGACAAACTGGGACAAGAGGGCGAGGGGAAGTAAAAATTTCAAGGAAAATGCAAATGTAATTTATGGACAGGAATTCTTAGACAAATAAGCAAAAAATAATAATAAATGATGCCACATTAAAAAAAGCAAATGTTTTAGCAAACGCTGAAGATCAATTTATTTAATCTATTGTAAATAATGGAAGTACACTTTACGTACATGTATTGTATAAATAAAAATTTATTGTTACTTCTTACATATTCATACTTTTAGATTTTCTAAAATCTGAATTAATTTACATTTTGCCCAGAAGTAGAAATAATGTTAAAACTGTAATAATTCAAGTTACTGAATGAAATAACAAAGATCTTATTATTTTAAATAAGAATTTCATTAAATATTATAAATAATAATAAAAAGATTGTAAAAACTCTATCACTCGAATAATTACATTTCAACATCCATATGAAAAAAGTAAAACTTTTCTTAGAAAGCTCAAGATACAAATAAAAAACATATAACTGGCCAAAAGAAATAAATTATCAAAATTTGATTAAATTTTATTTTCAATCTATTAATTAATGTCAGTATTTTGTAATAATTAGTGAAAGATAATAAGGAAATTCTGCCGTCAAATACTCTTAAGGGTTAATGCCCAATGATTTGTAATTCATATTATTTACTGTGTAATAGATAATAACAATTAAATATATTCTATATACTGTAGCTAATTTACATTAACTGGATGAACATTAAATAAGTTCTATCTTATAACAAATATAAAATTAATAAAGGTGTTAATTATATTTTATTTAAAAAGAAATAAATTTGTAACAATCATATAATTATAGACATAAATATTGAAAATAAATAACAACATACATTTTTAACAATTAGAATGTAACTTTTACCATGAGGTAAATGGCCGAAGTAACCTTTGTCGATAAGCAACTGAAACAAAAACTTGTTTAGCTGCATGCTATGGATTTTGCCCTACAGTTAATACATAAAAATTGCATGAAATTTTTATTTCAAGTAAAAATACTTCATTTTTCATAGTTTTTGTATATAAATCCCACATATGTTTAGTTATATAAATTCTATAATATTCAACACATCAAAACTAAAATATCGTCAATAACGTTCGCAAATAATTAGAAAACTTTGATAATAAAATGCATTTATTTAGTTATGTACTCTTGCTTTATCATTGCTTTTGTTTGATATAACTCTGGGATTATCAAATTAGTAAAAGTAACAGAACAATATAAATAGTGATTGATATTAAGTATTAAATGCTGACAATCTTATGCTATTCAATTTACATGTAGATATATACACATAATAATATTCAATGAAGACATGTTTATAAGTTTTAAGATTTAATTTTAATTATATATCTTTAAATAATTGTTAGAAAATTAAAACTTCTGCANTTATTTATACTATCATCATATTTAAATTACTGATTTTGATGACATTATTCCTTTCATATAATTTTTTACTAGGTTTTCTTATTTTTATATTATTGCTAAGTTTCCTAATTTACAAGTGTGCTTGATTACAGTGTGTCAGACAAAGTGATTACTTAAACTGTTGTTTTTAGAGAAAAAAAAATAGATGCAAGGTGATAATTAAAAATGTTAAAATTTAAAACAGTGTTATTACTAAAAATTAAGTAATGACTGATAGTGAAAATAAATGCATTTAAAACATAACTTTTGAATAAAAACCTTGCTTATATGAAAAATTTAAGGAAAGAGATTATATGAGGTATTATGTACTTTCTCATTGCCATGAATAAGTAAAGCTCACCAAACATACCAGAAAACTGGCAAAACTATAAATCCTTTATTTAAATGTTTTCTTCCATATACAACAGACATTATCAGGTTTTATTAAGAACGGAAGAAAACATTTGTACCAGTATCTTTGCATCCTTCTTTGCCATGAATGTTTAATATTCTGAATATTTAATTCATTTCCACAAAAATTATGCAAAAGATATTAAAAATAATGATCTCTATTTAAAAATCTTATGATTAATTTATAATTAAAATATTCTGCTTACAAAAATAAAAAATGAATTTAAAATGAACTAAATACACATTTTTCATCAATGTGAATATAGAGAACCAAAAACTGAAACTATATTTTAATTGTTGAAATTAATATAATTCAATTTTCTTTTAATATGTAAATGAAAA